TAAAAATTCACATGAATTCGTCTTGTTCTAAATCTTGCAAAAATTTCGAACTGTTTTCAAAGTTGGCGTCAAAGCCTGTTTCTCTACCTTATCTTTCAATTATTAGTGTAATTCAACTTAAGACTAGGTTTTAAGAATGCTTTAATTGCCTTTCTCTACAAGTGACATTTAGCATTTGTTTATAATGGTGTGGATAAGCGGACGGCATACGTTAAATATGACCTTTAATAACAGAAGGCATTCCGTGGCAGCACTAAATTCGACGTATTGGCTAGTTTTGCCTACTGCATCCTACTAGTCGCCGGCCAATACATAGGTGCGGAATATTTTAGAACCGGCCGGCCAATCTCCTTTTATGTTACAAAGAACGTTTTTTTGTCTTGCACAAAGTACTGACGGCTAGCAATTTGATTACTTGCAAGCGGCTCTGTATTTTGTTGACGATTGTGGTTGCGTATTAGGAAACAAAGTTTTCACAAGAAATCCTCACGCCTAATGTCAACTTGGCCTCCTTACTTCAGGTGGTAAAAAGCTCGGCCGTTGATTTTGGAGTGGAAAGCATTAGGTTGCTGCGGTTAGGAAACTTTAGTTCTCCTTATTTGTGTAACTTTCAATATTATATGTATATATTTTTTTTCTAAGGGTGTGTACAGATTTATCCACCGTACTATTTATTATGCAAGCACTCTCATACGTACGTGAATACATATCGCTCATTCACTTCAATATTGTCATAATTCAAAAAACCAAAAACGCAAAAAAAACAAATGTTTTAAAGCTTTGAATTTACATATCACAGTGTCATAACTCAAATAAACCCAACTCGAGAAAACGCCTTTAAAGTGTGGTATTTTCATCAGAGCTGGGTCGTAATGATTCCTTTAGGAATTAAATTACTCCCAATTACAGATTACAAGGAATTGTAATTAGGAATCAATTCCTTCAGTCCACAGCAAAGGAATCGATTACTTTTTCAATTCCTTGAACTAATTTCAAATGTAATTGGGTTTTTCTTTAATTCCATTACAAGGAATTTCATATTGTAATTGGAATAAATTACGTACTAGTAATGTAATTTTTTTTTCCAATTCCTTTGAAAGGAATTGAAAATGTAATTGATTTTTTTTCAATTCCATTACCTGGAATTGCAAGAGTACTTTAGTTTTTCCAATTACTCAAAGGAATTGTAAAAGTAATCGAGAAACTGAAAGTTCATTCACGGATATACAATGTGGAATTTTTGTTGTGGTCAAAGATTAAAATCGAAAGCACACATTGGACATCTTCTATGTATATCTATATATATATAAAAATGTTGTGTTCGTATGTCACGGTCATCAAAACCCGAGAACGGCTGAACCGATTTGAATAATATTTTTTTTATTATTCGGTATAATACCAGAACCAATGATATCGCAAAAATTTGGTGGGTATCAAATTAAAAAGGTTTGAGAAAGATAACTGTTGGAAATATTTTTGAGGGGGCTGCCACCTATTTGGAAATTGTAACTCAGTTAAATTGATAAAGTAAATGCAATGTTGGCATGTGGGTGTCAAACTAAAGAGTTTTAAAAAGACTTACAGTCTACCATGAACACTTCCAGAAATATGCAATATGAAAAGTTCGGTTTATATGGGAGGTGCCACACGCCATTCTCCAACCATGCAAATTTTTCTCCATGAGTATGGAATTGGTCTTATATATGTATATAGATATCACCATACCCAGTTCTAGTCCTCTACCACAAATATATGCAGTTTGAAAAATTCGGTTTGTATGGGATGTGCCACGCCCCCTTTCTATATCGAAACTTTTTTTAGCTATAACCATCCTTGGAAAGTCTGCAGTAGATTCCGAAATTTCAAAAAAATCGGTACGGCCTTTCTCGAGCTTTGCGAACAGAAAAAAACGCCTTTCAAAATATATATTAGTATAGACTAGCCAAACTCTGCTTGTTTTGCGGGTTAAAACACTACTACCGATGAAAATCGATGGATAAATAAACAAGTTTGCAAGGGTTAAGTGAAAGTGCAATAATTTTTTGTATGATATACTAGCAGGTAATTTAACAAAGCTATTGGAACTCAACAGTAAAAAAATTTTTTTATAAATTTTTCGATTACTTTTTAAATTACTTTGAGGAATGGAATTGGAAAAAAATCAATTACATTTTCAATTCCTTTCAAAGGAATTGAAAAAAAATAACATTTTCAATTCCTTTCAAAGGAATTGAAAATAAAAGAAATTACATTACTGGCACGTAATTTATTCCAATTACAATATGAAATTCCTTGTAATGGAATTAAAGAAAAAAACAATTCCATTTGAAATTACTTCAAGGAATTGAAAAAGTAATCGATTCCTTTGCAGTGAACTAAAGGAATTGAATCCTAATTACAATTACTGAGGAATGTAATTGTAATTGTAATGTAATTGCATTTACCCAGCTCTGATTTTCATATACTCCCATGGTAAAAATGAATACATATTTTGTTGTAGCGAGATACTGATACTGGTAATCGATAAAGCTATGAAATCTATAAACAACATAGTAGAAGAGATAGCGGTAATTTCTGCGTACTTAACTCAATATATGTATATATACAGTTGTCCACAAAATAATAGGAGTGCGAAATTTCAAACTTTTTAATCAGAATCTTTAGAAAAAATTCTGGTATGCAGTTTTGATGCACATTCAATTCTAGTCTGAAGAAGTGCAAGTTTCAAGCGGCTAAAGAATTCCGTTGATTTTTGAGAATTGAAATTTGGGTGAAAAATTGCAAAATTTTTATAATTTTTATATAAAGTTTAAAATCTGAATTTATATGGTGTTTGTTGTATAGCCAGCTA